GAGATCCCTTCCCCACGGTGGCCGGCCCTTGCGGAGCGGTGGGGTGACGGCACGCTGCCCAGCATCCCTCCGCGGGGGTGCTCGCCTCCGCTCTCCTGCTCCCCACAACTCAAAGCTGAGCACGTTACACCTGACGTGCTCTCGTGTTGCTGCCCCAAACCCCACAGACACACAGCAACATCCAGTAGTGCGGCTGTGCCATAGCCGATCCGACAGTTCGTACTCCGTCAAACAAGGTTTGCTACCTCTTTCAGGCAAGTGCCACGGTCTCTCCAGTTGCCTAAGCTCCATTCTTACCTTCCAGTCACCTCCCACCAGGCGGCCCCGCACAACAGAAGGCAGTGTATCTCGGGTCAAGAGAAGCAATAACCTTCAGAAAGCTTTCTTAGATAGTGCTGTCCTGATAAGACCTCTTGGAGAAAGCAGCCAAACGACTGTTCTGCAGCAGTCACTGCAGCGGGAAGCACTGAGTCACCAATGCAGACCATTGCTAGGCCAAGGAACTGCAGGATAGGCATTTCTGGAATTCATTGTTCTCCCCTGCTTACTTGGATTATGACACAATCAAAATTCCCCAAGCAAATAAAAATAATTTACAAATACAAGTTGTATTTGCATAGCATGAAAAATATATATTATCATCCAACACTACCAATTTACCAGAACAGTAATTTTCCAGGTTATTAAAAAGAGCAGATAAGCAGCAAGGCCCAACCTAATGCCAGTCAGCACCTGCTAGTTATATCAAAAGATAAGAAACTAATTTTTTGGGGGTTTTGGTACAAGTCCAATACTTTCACATCAAAGACCAAACAGGTTAGTTATGTTTCATTTTGATATTTTTAAATAAGACAGGTTGGCATTCCACGAGGGTTATATATTGATGAATCAAGAAGAAAAACTACATGCTGAGAGAATAAATAGCTGTAGGAAAAGAAAATTAGAGTATCTTATTGTGCACTTAGGAATAAATAGAAGTCTGATTAAGTAAAAATAGATTGTGGCAAAGTTGTTCATTATTTAAAGGTATGCATTTATTATTCATACGCATAGTATAAATCCATTCTGTGTAAAAGTTCAGTTACTTAGATGAGACATCAGCTTTTTGACTTTTTTTCTCTTTTAAAGATTAATATTTTAGTCATGGCTCATCTTTATTTTTAGCAATCCAAGGAAGTAATTTCTGCCTCACCCTGAGCAAAAAAACCCAATGAATCATTGCTTTGTGAGACAGAGCAGAGACGTAATCCGAGACAGACAACAGCACGCAAACTCCTCTGCATTAATGTTCCAGGCTGCTGCAGCGACAGCCTCTGCCTGCCAGTGCTTCCCACTCCGTTCCTCGCTCGTACACCCGTGCCTTACTTCTCACAGCGTATCTGCTAAAGCTCAGAGCGCCAAGAAAGGCACACCTTCAGGCCTGCAATAGCAAGCCGTCTAAATCATTCTGGACCTTTCTTCTTCGTGCTCCCCTCATACCATTAAGTTCACACAGCTCCTGTATAGGTGCACTCACTCTAAATGGGCAGGTTTTCCACTGAAACTAAGTAGCGCTCAGTTTTTGGGGCACTTGCAATTTAACCATCACCACTTCGTATGAATACAGCCGTGTGGATGCATAACTGACATCACAGGCTCCTATGTTTTACTGGTGCCAGTCGGAAAAAAAAACCCACACATCATGACATAAGTTGACTACAAGAACATGCCAACGGAAACTCTGCTTGTCTCTCCATATATTACAATCACAATTACTTAAGTGATGTATGCGACCAACACAAAGAGAGCAAGTGACTACAGTGCATATCAGTGTCCATCAGACAGCTTCAATAAGTTTATGTTCACTTCTAGCACGGACCTGAAGTTGTTGTCTGCTCTCCCTTCCAGATGCAGACCTTCAAGTTGAAGATTTCAATGGAGAAGAAACCTTA